TGCACGGGGAACGGAGGTGGACATCAGGCTCAGGCCACCCTCGGGGCATACTCATGAGGAGGGGCCAGCCCCCAGCCCCTCATCCCAGACCCTGCCTCTACACAGCGAGCCACCCCTCCCAGCCCCTGGGCGCTGTGCTAATGGCAAGTCCCAAGGAGAGAATGCTAGATTGATCAGTTTGTTAACCAGCCATAGAGGTGGTTCCTGGTTCACACCCTGTGGGAGCCGTGCAGGGTCCTTGGTAACTGGCCAGAGACTAGTGTGGAGCCTGGAAAGCTTGTTCCTGTGGAGGGCAGAGCTGGAGGGTCCAGACCTTTGTAGCACAGCTCGGCTGTCTGTGACCAGGGAGACGCTGGTTTGTGTGCCACAGCTTCAGCAGCAGGTGGGGGTGCCGCAGGGGACAGTGGGTGTGCAGACCAGGATAGAGTAGGAAGGCTGGCAGCAGCAGGACTGGCAAGAGGTGGCCTCACACATGGCGGGCCTGCAGCTCACGGGCACGCACACAGTGGGCCTGCAGCTCACAGGCACGCACACAGTGGGACTGCAGCTCACAGGCACGCACACAGTGGGACTGCAGCTCACAGGCATGCACACGGCGGGCCTGCAGCTCACGGGTGCCCACAGTGAGACTGTAGCTGTTGGGCACGAAGCAGGCCTCCTGGCAGGGGCTGGGCATTCAGCAGCCCGGGCTGCAGGAGGAGGGCTGGCCACAGGTTGTTGGGCAGCATAGGGACGGGCAGCTGCAGGCCGACTGGCAGGAGGCTGCTGAGCTGCACACGGGCCGGCACAGCAGAGCCACGCTGGAGGCTGGCTAGCTGCAGGAGCTCCTGCAGCCTGGGGTAGGGCAACAGGTGGGGAGACAGCTCAGGGGACCGGTGGAGCAGCTGGTGTGGCACATGGTGGCGTGGGGCTGGGCTAGGGTCAGGGTGGAGCACGGGGCTGGTCTGCAGGCTCCTTCCCCGAGTGGCCTTTATACCTGGGCTGTGCATCCCGGCGAGGTGTCCACCGTGTGCTATTGCTGATTTCACCTCCCTGTTCCTGTTTAGGGTGCCCCATGAAGCCAGTCCAACAAGGAAACCCCGATGCAGAGTGGAGTCTCTGAGCTGGGAGGGGCCAGTGCCAACAGTTGGCTGGGCTCATGTTGGGTTGGGTGCAGGGTCCCGTTGGCACAGAGTGGTCAAAGCAACCCCTTGGAGTCATTGTCCCCATGCATCCATCCACCTGCCCCATGGGTGTCCCTGGTGGGCACTGACACTCGCCCTCCACAGCGTGTCTACACGTGCCTGTGGGCGTGGGGGTGACACTGCCCCAGCAGCGAGGGGCTCAGGTCCATTGGCTGCCAGTGACAGCCCCCCACTTTGGGCTTCTTCCTGCTGGGACATTTGGGCCGCTGCCCACAGGTGTGGGACCCTGGCCTTGTGAAGGAGCAGAGGACGCTGGCTGAGATGTGCCCTGACTTCTGCCTGCAGGGGCCACCCAGGCTGGGCCCACAACAGGACTGTGCACCTGGGATCGCTGGGGTGCGAGGCCCTGCAGACCCTGGGGAAGAACAGACCATGTTCTGCCCCAGCCCTCAGGCGGCCGCTGAGAAGGACAGAATTTAACCCTGTGTGTCCCTGCCAGCCCCACCCTAGGCCCTATGTGGGGTCTTTCCACACACAATCTGATGAAACTTCACTTTGATTCTCCAAGGAAGCAATTTTTGTTCCTGAACCTTACTCAGTCAAGGCTCCTGAGAATCCAAGAGCTGGTTCCAGGCCAGACGGTGGCTGGTGAGGGCGTCTCGATTTGAGGTCACATCGCGCTGTATCCCTGGCCGGCGAGTGATCCTAGCTCGCAGTGGATTCTGAAGGATCCTCATGTCCAAGACAGTGGAGTCTTGGGAGCAAGGGGCAGGGGTTGGGGCGAGTGGGGTCCCCATGGTGTGTGCAAGGAGGCCTGGCCCCCGAAGGCCTGGAGTGCCGTGTCTGGCCTCTACAGAATTGTGGACAGATGTTTGCCATAAAAGCTGAGTGAGAAGGTGCGGTTGACACCCTGTCTGATGCAGAGATGCCCAAGGCTACTCTTTGATGAGTGGACATCAGTCCCACCTGCTCACAGGCAGGCCTGCACTGATTTCAGCCTGGAACATTCCGGAAGAGGAGTTAGCAATGACCCCCATGTTCGCCTGGCCTTCCCAGTGAGGCTGAGTAGCAGAACCGAGGGACACAGTCCTTCAGTTTGATCTCGCTGGCTGCCCTGGGGGCTGTTCGCTGGGAGGGTGGTCAGGGATGATGGTGGGGCGTGAACGGAGCTGACTGAGGACCTTCTCTTGGGGGCGGTTATCATGAATCTGCTTTCCTGTTCATGACATTCCCCATCTGAGGCAACAGGCTGTGCAGGGCAATGCTTCTCTCCATATGGGCTGTGCGGGGAGGGTGCAGCGCTGGTGTGGTGGTCTCCCACCCGCACCCAGTGCTCTCTGGGGCCTGTGAAGGAGGAAGCCTGCTTTGGAGACCCCTACGGTGCGGAGCACAGGCATCAGGCCGCTGCAGTGGTGAGGCTGAATAAAAGGCACTGCCTGCAGGAGCTAAAGCCAAGCTCACCACCACATAGGATGGAAAGTTCTAGCAACACCTGTTGGGGACCCAGGCCAGACCTGTCCCTCTGCCTTGACCCCTCCCTCCCCTCAGTCACCTCAGGGACTTGACCACGTGCCCCACCGGCCATTTCTCCACTTCCCATCCCCATGCTGCCCAGCGGCCTGGGGCCCAGCCTTCTGATGCAGCTGGCCTGCTGTGTGCCCGTGAGCTGCAGGCCGCCTGAGTGTGGCCTTCCTGCTCTTCCTCTGAGTGCTGCTGGCCTCCTGCCATCTGACCCCTGTGGTCCCTGCCTGTGCTGAACCTGCTGTGAGGCTCTGACTCCTGGTCTCTGTCACCTCTGTGATGCCCTGTCATGGACCTCACCTACGTTTTAGGGTTCAACCTCCTTTGCTACCTGCATGTGCCCTTGCTGCCCTCTGGGAGAATTCTGCACGTCTGCCACGCCCAGGGCAGCATGGCTCATTTGCCCTCACCTTTCTGTTTCTGGGGCCCAGGGTCCCTGTCTCAGCTTGATGGCTAAGCTGTCACTCCACAGCTAATAAAACGAGGACACAGACCCAAGTCTGGGTGTGCCTGGCTGTCTTCCTTTCTCCCGCTCCTCCTGAAGTCCCCTCCATGGTCAGCCCCCGCTCTCCTGGGCCCACCTTTGGTCCTGCACAGACATGTACCGTGTCATCTCTGGTGGGGTGACAGTGCCCCAGCCGTCCCAGGTTGGCATTACTCATGTCCTCAGGAGCAACCCATGAGGCTGGTCACAACCCTGAACCCGAAACTCTGCCCTTAGCCCTGCATTCCAGACTTGGGGTTCAGGTCCCAGTTCTCTTGAGCCAAGTTGCCCACACGTCCTAGTTTTCCCAGGCTGGTCCTGTGTAATTATTAATAATGGTCCTTTCATTCAAAATTGCCCCAGTTTTAATGGTAAATTTCAAGGGCGCCCTACCCAGAGGCCTCTGCCCCATCCCACCTCTGCACTGTCAGTGAGTGACCTATGACCCTGGCCATGGTGACCCTCACGATGCAGCTGCACCTGCTTCCCTCCGTCTTCGGGCCTGTCCCCATGCACGCCCGGAGCGCAGTCGCCGTGGCCCCGTTCCTGTGGTTCCCGCGCACAGCACACCTCGTCCTTCTAGGACAGTGGGGAGCTTGTCCACTGAGTTTTTAATTCCCATTACTTGATTTTTTATTTCTAGAAGTTTTACTTGTTTCCCTCAGGTCTGTTTTTTTCTTTTATTCTAATAGATTCTCATTCTCTTCTCATATTTACAATAATCTCCTTTAAGCGTATTACCTATGTTCTTTTAGTTTTTCTCTTATAGTCACCATGCTGTACGTTACATCCCCAGGACTTATTTACTTTATAACTGGAAGATTGTAACTTTTGACCCCCTTCACTCATTTTGCCCACACCCACCCCCACCTCTGACAACCACCACCGTCTTCTCTGCGTCTCTGGGTTCAGTGTTTTTTTGGATTCCACATATAAGTGAGATCATACAGTATTTGTTTTTTTGGTCTGACTTATTTCCCTAGTCATAGTTGTTTTAAAGTTTCTGTCTAATGGCTCCAACAACTGGATCATTTCTGAGTCCAATTTTGTTGATAGCTTTGTCTCCTGACAATGGATTTATTTTTCCCTGCTTTTAAATGTCTTCTAAGTTTTGTTTAATGTCAGATATTTTATATTAATTAAAATGGACATCAACTAGTTTCCTCCTGGAAGTGAGTGTGTCTCTTCTTCTGTCAGGTCATCAGTTTGTGGGGCAGGTTTGAATCAACCTGGTCAGATGTAGAAGTTGGTTTGGGTTTTGCTGTTACTGTGACGAACTTCAGGGTACCAGGACTTCGGACTCCTGCTGTGGTGGGCTGCCGGCAGCTTGTGCTTAGGGTAAGGGCTGAGGCGCAGAGATTTTGCTCCGCCCTAAGTTTTCAGCTACATGTGCAGGCTGATGCTGCTCACGCAGCTGGCCAGGTGAGTTGGGAGACAGGAGGGCTCTCTTGCCTCCTGTTCCAGTGTCATCTTGAGCAGGTCCTTGTGCCTGGGACCTGGGGGGCGAGGCTTTCTCACTTCCTACCACTCCTCCCTGGGATGGCCAGACTCTGCTTTGTACTTGCAGGGGATTGTGTGAGAGTTTCCTGCCCTCCTTGTAGGAATCCTTTAAGGGACCATGTGGGACCCGCGCCCCAGGCCTGTTTCCCGTCCCCCACTCAGGGGGAGGATATTTTTCCTCTGCAATTCTCCATCCACAGTGTGAGTCTCGGGTGGCTGACGTGAGGAAGCCCCTGCCTCCCACACCAACACACCAACCAAGGGCCCCCCACCTTTAGCTGAGCCGCCGGAAGAGGACTCTTTGAGGAGTGGCTGCTGTGCTTATTTGCATACACCTTTAAGGAGAGAACTGAAAATACAGGAGCATAAAATGCACAGACGAGCTGCGTCAGGAGAGCACGATTTATTTGGCTCACGTGGAGTTTTGCTTCCTACTGGGAACAGAGAAGGACTCTGGGAATCAGGAATTCCCTGAGGGCATAGGGAGGGTCACGGAGGGATCCAGGTCATCCGGCCACATTCTCACCCCAGAGTTCAGAGGGGTCGGTGAGCATGCATTTCATCTGCCACATGCAGAAGCTGGAGGCCCACAGAGGACTCGTTCTGGGAGGGGTACAGGTGAGGACCCGTCTGCACTGATGCAGCTGAGAAGGGACTCGTGGTCAATAGCAGCAAGGGGAGCTGCAGGAGGTGGGTCTGCAGACCAGGGTGGGGCAGGACGGCTGGCAGCACCCGGAGGACTGGCAGGAGGGGGCCACAAGCACAGCAGGCTTGCAGCTCACAGGCACACGCACGAAGGACTGCCAGGAGGGGACCCCACACGTGGAGGCCTGGCAGCTCACAGGCACACGCACGAAGGACTGGCAGGAGGGGGTCACACACACAGATTGGCAGCTCACAGGTGTGCACACAGCGGGCTGGCAGCTCACAGGTGTGCATACAGCTGACTGGCAGCTCACACGTGTGCACACAGAAGGCTGGCAGCTCACGGGTGTGCACACGGCTGACTGGCAGCTCACAGGTGTGCACACGGCAGGTTTGCAGCTCACGGGCACACAGCAGGATGCCTGACAGGGGCTGGGCGAGCAGCAGGCAGCCTGGCAGCCTGAGGAGCAGCTGGTGTGGCACATGGTGATGTGGGGCTGGGCTGGTGTTGGGGTGGAGGCGGTGGTGTCTGCAGACTCCTTCCCGGGGCGGCCTTTATACCCGACTGTGGGTTTCCCGGCAACACGGAAGCACACTGTTGACTTCCTCCTGGCTGTTTCCACCATGGTCCCTGCAGCTTCCTGTCCGGGGACGCACTCCTCTGTGTTATGCTCCACCATAAATCAGTTTGGCTTCAGGCCGATTCCTCCCTCTGTGAACAGGACATCCGGGTTTGACCCCACGTGGGGTTTCTCCAGGCCATCACTGTGCACGCAGCCCCCTGGCTCCACTCAGAGGACTGTGTCCTTTCAATCCTGTTTGTCTCGTGCCATCAGTGGAGACCTGGAGGCAATCATGTATTTCAGCTCTTATTCTGTGCAGGAACACATTGAAGCAGGACTCGCAAACTGAAGTCTGAAGGACGCAGCTGGCCAGCTGCCCGTTTGTAATAAAGTCTTATTGGACACATGCGTGTACATGTCGTCCGGGGCGGCTTTTGCACGGCAACGCTGAGCAGTGATGGGAGAGACCACGCGACCGCAAGGCCTGAAATGCTTACACCTGCTCTTCATGGAGCGTTTGCCAACTCCTGCCTCATGGTCGTCTACACAAGAATTGATTTGTTCATGCAACAATTATATCCTGTGTGCTGGCCATAGAGACGTCCCGGCCCCATGAGCCTTCCAGGGCCATGAAGAAACGAGTGAATGAAGAAATTCATGCATGAAAGAATTCCAGAGAGGGCCGAGTCCCAGGAAGGAAACAGGTTCAGCAGATAGAGAGTGACGGGGGTGCTGGGGGTGGTCTGGGGGCCTCTGTGAGGAGGCTATGTGGAGCTGGCACAGGGGATGTGAAGAGGGGAGGGGACAGTGTTCCAGCAGAGGCAGCCGTGGGGGTGAGGTGAGGACACTGCTGCAGAAGCAGGTGTGGTCCAGGAGCCGTGGGAAATCCCACTGTGTGGGGTGCGAGGGTGCAGGGGCCGGTGGACCAGGCATCTCAATTCTGGGCTGACAGAAGGAGAAGGAGTCAGTGAACTTGAGGACACATCAGTAGAAATTATCCAATCTGAAGAAGAGGGAAAAAGAGTAAGAAAAAGGAGGAGGGCCTATGAGACGGTGTCAGAAAGTCAAACCTACAAGTAATTTCAACCAAAGAAGGAAAAGAGACTGACACTGACGCAAAAGAATGTTTTGAAAAATAAAGGACAAAATTCTCAAATTTTATTTTTTTAAAAAAAATTTCAACTTACAGATCCAAGAATATCAGAAAGCCCCTAAAGCCCCAACACAATTTGGCACAGCAGTAAAAACCACAGATTCCGGAGGGAAACCAGGCAGCTTCAAACGCCGCTTCTCTGTGTGCAGTGATGAGAACGTGCCCACGTCATGGGCTCCTTCTAGAGCCTCCTAATTGCACATCTGTACCAGTGGGGTATCACCCACCCCTTGAACGGCAGCAGGACGGATCATTAATCAGTTATGAGACTGTCCACGTAAACGCTTAGCTCTGCACCCGACACAAAGCTGGAACTTGGTTGTTACTGCTGTTATTGGAACAACGTGGACCCTGCACAGTGAGGACCCAGCCCCGTGGCTCCCGCCCGCTGGGAAGACCTTCTGGATTACTGAGTTTCCAAAGCAAAATGGGGACCCTGGTGTGGTGAGTGTGACTGTGCCTGTGCAGACAGAGGGCAGGGTATTCAAAATTGGGGAGAATCTTGAAAGTCGTGGCGTGTGGCCCCTTGTCCCCAGCTGACGGCCCCTCATCATCCATCCTGGACTCGACTCCAGAGTCACGTGGCCGCTGAGTCACAGGGAGTCTCCAGCTGAGGAGGAACCTCCTGGACGGCGTCACTTCAACCAGAAACTCCAGGAGGAAACCCATGGAGACGAAGAGGAGAACAACCAGGAAACCACGAGGAAGGCACCTGGTGGCTCATTGCCAGGATGCCCACAGCCCACAGGTATAAAGGTCCCCCTGGGCCAGGAGCCTGCAGACCAGCCCGTCCTCTGCCCTGACCCCAGCCCAGCCCCACACCACCATGTGCCACACCAGCTGCTCCACAGGCTGCCAGCCGGCTTGCCCTGCCCCCTGCTGCCCTCCCCTGGTCTGCGGGAGCTCCTGCGGGCAGCCGGCCCCCTGCGTGTCTCTGCTGTGCCGGCCCGTGTGCGGCTCTGCCACCTCCTGCCAGTCGGCGTGCGGCTGCCTGTCCCCATGTTGCCCAACGACCTGTGGCCAGGCCTCCTCCTGCAGCCCGGCCTGCTGTGTGCCCAGCCCCTGCCAGGTGGCCTGCTGCACACCTGTGAGCTGCAGGCCCGCCGTGTGTGTGCCTGTGAGCTGCAGGCCCACTGTGTCTGCGCCCGTGAGCTGCAGGCCCATTGTGTACCTGGCCCCCTCCTGCCAGTCCTCCGGGTGCTGCCAGCCCTCCTGCTCCACCCTGGTCTGCAGACCTGTCCCCTCTTGCACCCCTTGCTGCTCCTGAGCTTATGGCCTCCCTTTATGTGTGGGGTCGGAAGCAGCCAGCTCTGAACTCCTATGAGACGCCCCTGTCCTCATCCACTTCAGACCTTCTGGACCCAACTAGACCACCTTGCAGCAAGGCCGCGCCATCCCAGCCAGCCAGGCTGAGGGGCTCACCCCCCAGTGTCCCCTGACAGCAGCCCAGGTCATCCACCTGGCACCCACACTGACTGGTGTGGCATGTGCACATTCTGCAGCCTCCAGCATCAAAGGTCTAATAAACACCAGAGTGGACACTTGTCCCAACATGTGCGACGTCTCTCCTCAGTGTCTTTCCCTAACTGCTTCCCCAGGGGTGGTTTCCTAAGGATTCTGGAAAGTTCCTTCTCTGCAGAGCAGGCCCAGCTTACCATGTGGCCGAGACCAGGCAGCTGACCACTCAAAGGTGGCCTCTTGCTGTGAGATGATAAATTTGTTTTGTTTTAGCCACCACATTCGTTGTCCTTTGTCACAGGTGCCACAGGACCCACCCAACTTCTCTGTGGCACAGCCTCCGATTCTCACCCTCCCTCCGTGGTCCTGCCACCTGCAGCCCTGACCGCCAGGTAGGAGGAGGCGGGAGCTGCCGAGGGAAGGAAGGCGGGCGCCCCATGCGGGCTGTGAGGCTGGCTCCTCCGTGCCCTGCTGCGGGGTCTTCCAGCCCATCCTTCCTGCGTGGGCTCTTCCTGCTGCAGCTCGGCCCCTCGGCCCCAACCAGGGAGGCGGCCTCGCTCTAGCTGGGCCTTCCTTTCTCAGGTGCTCGGCAGCTGGAGCTCCTTCTGCCCAGGTCTGCCCGGCTCCAGGCTCTTCCCCAGCCTCAGTCCCCCATCCTCTCTCCCGAGGGTCCACATCAGACCTATGGGGACACTCAGCAGCATCGCCCTTAGTCCACCCCACCCCCACCCAGAGCGTCCAGCACAGATTCTAAGCTGACTCGGACTGAGGCCTTGGTGGCCCTCCCTGGGCCCTCCCTGCAGGAACTCTGTCACCCTCCTGGTGATCCCCTGGGAGCCCCTCCTCCCTTGGCAGCTGAGGACATAACAGCCACAGTCCCTGCCCCTTGGAAGGCTGGGGGTCATGGCACAGCTCTCTCCAAGGAAATGCTTTCCTGACCCCCGGCACCCGCAGGCCTGAACTCCCGACCTCATCATCCCCAGACACCTTCCTCTTGGCCTCGCCACCCTCTTTAGGGGCTGGAGTCGGGGGATGTGTAGTAACTTCCTGGAGTTCAGGCAACAAAGTGCCCTGACCTGGTGACTGAAACAACAGAACTTTATCCCCCACAGTCCGGGGCCAGAGTCCGAGAGCAGGGCGTGGCAGGCTGGTTCCTTCTGAGGGTGGTGAGGGAGTCTGTCCCGTTGTAACTGAACTTAAGTGGTCCATCCATCTCTTGGTGAGCGCGGAGCCAAAAAGCACAACCAAGGCTGAGGCGGGTGAAGAGAAAAGGTCTGTTGCTTGTGCAAGCAAATGGGGGGCACGAGGGATGGCTCCACAGCGGTGCCCCCTGACCCCCAGCTTAGTGCAGTCGGAGGTTTTATACACCAGAGCGCAGAGGATGTGTTACAACTGCGTAACAACTGGGCCTGGTCAGGGCGCATGTGCAGGCCCTTACACAGCCAGCTCGTGCAAGAAGCCACTACACAGCAGGTGCAAGGCAACTCCTGGACGCTTAGAGCCAGAGCAGTTTGTGGGGTCCTCCTGCAACTGTGTAAGTTTCACTTAGGATGGCAACAGCTGCAAAAACGACATGAGCTTCTGAAAAACAGCACATTTTGTGTTCTCCTTGTCTGGAAAGCATCTGACAGACTGTGTTTAGTTATGGATCAGATTGTTGCTAAGCCTTTCCTTTCCTGGTGCCTGGTCACACCGTCCTCTCCTGCTTCGAGGTTTGCTGGTGGCTTTGCCATCCCTTGGCATCACCCTGACCTCTGCCTCCATCTTCACAGCGTCTGCCCTCTGTGCCCGTCTCTGTGTCCACAGTGTCCTGTTTTTCACCGCCCCCGCCCTCATTTTATCTTGATCACATTTGTGAAGACACTGTTTCCAAATAAGGTCAGGGTCATAGTGCTGGGGGTTAGGATACCAACATCTTTTTTTCGAGGAGGACACAATTCAACTCCTGACAGGGAGTCAGCTCAAAGCTGCAAAACCACACCGGCCCCTCCTTTGCCCACCTGCCTGGCGGTGCTGGGGCTCCCTGTGGATCCGTGGCATCTGTGGTCCCCTGGGAACAAGGGGACAGGAGAGTCCAATCTGAGAATCCCAGTCCGACTGACACTCGCTGTGACACAGACAGAGCCCGAGTTCACAGAGAAAGGCCAACCCCCGGCCTGTGGGTGGGCCTCTCTTCCATCAGAGGCCTAGGGTATAAGTAGACATCCAGTGCTGACCTGGTCGGACTTACTGGTACCCCTGGTGGCCCACTGAGACTGAAGGCTCATCCTCCCCCACTATCCCATGTATTTGTTCACAAGGTGACTGTTTGCTCTGGGCCTCCTCAATCAGACCTTGAAACCTTGAGCAGAACGAGTAATGTGGGAACTGACATCCATGCCCCTTTTGGGACCCATGGGAACTTCCGGATGTGTCAGCGCATGCAGGGGTCGGCCTCCAGCCTGTGCAGGACCAGCACACAGGTGCTCCCCCTCTCTGTGGGCACCTCTCTCCAAGGGGCGTCAGCAGGATCCCCAACCACACGAGGTTTCTGCTGCTCCCCACTCAGCTGCACGCTGCATGGGCAGGGGACGGTGTACACAGGAGGCCCGAGGCCCCTCGGGGTCCAAGCCTCCTGCACCCACGCCTGCCTTGGGGGCCAGCCTTGGAGGGCTCCCCACAGCGGGAGGGGGCTGCAGGGCGGAGCAGGGGACAGAGCAGGCGGATGCGACCGCTGTCAGCTCTCAGTGTCCCTCAGCTGTTTGAACCTGGGTTTGAGACCACGTCTTCACTGTCTGGTTCTATCAGATGGGGACCCGCTGCCCATGTGGGGAGTGGCCGCGGGGGGTGGGGGGCTCAGGAGGAGGAAAGAAGACACAGAGGGCCAGATTTCCTGACACAGACGTTGTATTGATTATAGCCATGGACGTTTGTCACACCGAATGCCGGCAACCAATCCGCACAGGAGGCTCCCGGATCCCCCAGGTCCCTGCCTTGAGGGATCTGCGGGTCATCTCTTCTCAGAATGGGACGGCGGCGGGGTGTGCAAATCCCCAACAGAGAGAGAGAGATCTTGGCATCTGAGGGTCGGGCTCTTGGGAGGGACCTGTGCTCAGGAGCAGAGACAGCAGCTCGAGAGGCAGGAGCCGGAGCTGCTCAGCAGCAGGAATTCTGGGCCGAGGCGGGGCTGCAGAGCAGGGACACGCAGGAAGAGGGTTTGCACACAGGCCGGCAGAGCAGGGACACGCAGGCAGCCGGGCGGCAGCAGCTGGGCTGGCAGGAGGCGGGGCCGCAGCAGGAGGGGACGGGCACGCAGCAGGCGGGCCTGCACACGGGGCGGCAGATGAGGGACACGCAGGAGGAGGGTTTGCAGCAGGACGGGGGGCAGGGGCTGGGCTGGCAGCACGAGGGGGCTGGGCAGGGGGAGGCCCCAGAGCAGACGGGTGTGCAGCAGACGGGCACGCAGCAGGCCTGCTGGCAGGGGGAGGAGGTGCAGCAGGAGGGCTGGCAGCCAGACTGCTGGCAGCACGAGGGCGTGCAGGAGCTGGTGCAGGCTGACTGGCAGGGGCTGCACACACAGCTGGCAGGGGTGCAGATGAGGCTCAGGCAGGAGGCCGGGACGCAGCAGCTGGGGGCGCAGCAGGGGGGCTCGCAGCAGCTCTCTGGGCCGTCGTCCACCCGCCAGGAGGAGTCGGGGCAGGAGTCCCAGGAACCGGGCTGGCAGACCCGGCTGCCATAGCTGAGGTCGCTGGAACAGACGGACAGGGTGGAGGCGGCCATGGTGGGGCGGTGGGGCTGGAGGAGGGTGGAGTGTGTGTGTGAGTGTGTGTGTGTGTGAGTGTGCATGGTGCCAGGGGCTGTGGCTTTTATACCCCTCTGGGGTGTGTGTTGTCCCAGCAGGAGGCCGCATACCCTCCCTTCCTTGTTGGTGTTTTGCACTGTGAGGGCCTTCATTATGGCCGGTCCAGTGTCATGAGATGTCCTGCCTCCACTCGTAAAACGTGGACCATGCTGGGCAGGGCTGCTGTCCCAGTCCTGAGTCTGCCCTGCAGGGACACCTGCCAGAAGGAGCAGCCTCCCTGTGGCTGACCCTCCAGCTTCCACGGGGCGGGTCATATGTCAGGACGCCTGGTGACAGTGGCTCTGGGCCCATGGGGACGCACTCCATGTGGGTCCAGGCTCTGTGTGCACGTCCGGACCTGGGCCAGCCGGCCTGGCCTGTGACTGGGGGACAAGTGGCCGAGGTGCCTGTTTTGGGGACAAGACAATGTGAGGATGGCCCTTCCTGGGCAGGCTCTGTGAACTTGATGGTCCCAATGTCGGCTGAGGGCAACAAGGAGGATGAGGCCCAAGGACTGGAGAGGGCCTCCCCTCTTGTTAAAAATCAGTTGACCGTAGATGCATGGGTTTATTTCTGGACTCTCAATTTTGTTTCATTGATCTGTATGTGTATCCTTATGCCAGTGCCACTGTTTCGATTACTGTAGCTTTGTAGTAAGTTTGTTTCTTCCTTGTTAAGTTGGATGTCTTTTATTTCTTTTTCTTGCCCAGCTGCTCTGTCTAGAACTTCCAGTACAATGTTGAATACAAGTGATGAAAGTGGTCACCTTTGTCTTGTTCCTGACCTTAGGGGGAGAGCTTTCAGTCTCTCACCATTGAGCATGACGTTAGCTGTGGGTTTTTCATGATGCCCTCTAATATGTTGAGGAAGTTCCCTTCTATTGATAGTTTGTTGAGTGTTTTTATCATGAATGAGTGTTGGCTTTTTTCTGCATCGATTGAGACGATCACATGATTTCCCCCTTCATTCTGTTACTGTGGCACGTTACATTGATTGGTTTTTGTGTATCGAGTCACTCTTGCCTTCCCGGGACACATCCCACTTGGTTGTGATGGAGAATCCTTTTAATATACTGCTGCATTTGGCTTGATTGTATTTTGTTGAGGACTTTTTACCTTCAGAAGGAATATTGGTGTGTAGGGCTTTTTGGTTTGTTTCTGTGTGGCTTTGACGTCAGGCGAATGCTGACCTCATAGAATAAGTTAGGGAGTGTTCCTCTTACTCTGATTTTTGAAGGAGTTTGAGATGGATTGGTGTTCATAGTTCTGTAAATGTTTAGTAGAATTCAGCATTGAAGACATCTGGTCCTGGCTTGTTTTTGGGGAAGTTTTTGATGACCCATGTCATCCCGTTACTTATTTTATGTCTGTTCAGCTTGTCGATTTCTTCCTGAGTAAGTTCACTCACTTTATATCCAAAGATACAAATAGATTGAAAGGAAAAGGATGGGAAAAGGCATTTCATGGAAACAGTAACCAAAAGGGAGCCGGAAGAGTATAATAACATCAGACAAAATAGACTCTGAATCAAAAAATTGTTGTAAAAGACAAATAAGGCCATTAAATATTGATGAAAGGGTCAACATAGCAAGAAGATATGAGAATTTTAAACATATATGCACCTAGCCACAGACCTCCAAAGTATATGAACTAAAAATCGACAGAACTGAAGAAAGACAGTTGTAGTTCTAAAATAATAATTGGGGACTTCAATAAACCATTTCCTCCAATAAAAAATGAAATAAAAGAACTACTCCATCCAAGATCAGTAACGAAACGGAGGACTTGAAGAACACTATAAACTAACTCGACCTAACAGATGTATACACAACCTTCCACTCTAAGCAGAATACACCTTCTTCTTAAGTTCCCGTGGGACATTCTCCAGATTAGACCACATGTTAGGCCACAAAATAAATCTCAATAAATTTTAAAAGATTGAAATCATATAAAGTATCTTCTCTGATCACAATGAAAAGGAAACTAGAAATCAGTAACAAGGTAAACGGAAAAATTCACAAATATGTGGAAATTAAACAACACACACTTAACCAATTTGTCAAGAAGAAATCAGGCGGGAGGTTGGAAAATACTTTGAAATGAATGAAAATTAAAACACAGCAAACCGATACTTATGGGACACAGCAAATCAGTGCTCTGAAGGAAATTTATAGCTGTCAACACTTACATTAAAAAAAAAAAAGATTCAAATGCATAACCTAACCCGTAAGGGCCTAGAAAAAGATCAGAATAAACCTAAAACTAGCAGAAGGAAGGAAATAAAGATTAGAGCATAGATTACTGAAAAAGAGATGAGAAAAACAGTAGAGAGCATCAAGCGAACCAAAAGTTGGTTTTTTGAAAAGAGCAACAGAATTGACAAACCTTTAGCTAGACTAAGAAAAGAGAGAGGAGACTCAAAAGTTACTAAACTCAGAAATGAAAGTGGGGACATCACTAGTGACCTTACACAAACAAAAAGGATTATGAGAGAGAACTATGAACAATTGTACACCACAAAATTAGATAATCTAGATGTAATGGGAAAATCGTTACAAACGCACGAAGTACCAAAACTCACACCTTATGGCATTCTTTATTTTTTCTTATGGCTTCAAGTGACTGCTTAATACCATTTTACTTCAGCTTGAGTGATCATTTCTTATAGGGCGGGTCTACCAGTGATGAACTCTTTCAACTTATATTTACCTGGAAATGCCTTAATTTCTCCTTCATTTTTGAAGGGTGCTTTTGCTGGATATAGACTTCTTGCTTGACAGTTTTTTCTTCCAGCACTTTAAACATGTCATCCCACTGCCTTCCACCCTCATGGTTTCTGATGAGAAATTGGCTGTTAATCTTCTCTTCTGCGGCATGTAAGATACTCTCTCTGTCTTTGTCTTTGGATAATTCGATTGAATGTGTCTCAGTGTGAATTTCTTTGAGTTTGTTCTACTTGGAGCTCATTGAGAATTTTGGATGTGTAGATTCATGTGTTTCCTCAACTTTGGGATATTTTCAGGTCTTCTCACTCTCATTTTTCTGGGACTCCTCTTCAATGTGTGTTGGTCTGCTTGATGTGGTCCCACAGGTCTCTTAAGCTTTGTTCATTTATCTTCACTCTCTTTTTCCCAACCACTCCTCAGACTGGAGTATTTCAGGCGACCTACCTTCAAGTTCACTAATTCTTTCTCCTGCCTGCTCAAATGTGCTACTGAGCCCCTCTAGTGGAGTTTTCCTTTCAGTTATTGTATGCTTCAACTCCAGAATTTCTATTTGGCTCCTTTTGGTATTTCTCTTTATTAATAATCTCTATTTGGTGAGACATCAGTCTGTTGGTTTCTCTTAGTTCTTTGTTCACAGTTTCCTTGAACTCTTAGAGTATTTTAAGAGAGTGGGTTTAAGGCTTTGTCAAATAAGTTCAATGGCTGGGCTTCTTCAAGGATAATTTTCTGTTAATTGCTTTTTTCTCTCTCTAAATTGGCCAAGTTCCTTTATTCCTCCTTTGTGTGCCTCGTAATTTTTGTTGAAATGGGTATTTTGAATATTATAGTGTGGTAACTCTGGATATCAGATTCTCTTCCCTCCCCTGGAGTATGTTTGCCTTTGTGTCTTCCGTATCTCAATGTCATGGGGTCATGGGTTCACACTGACATGAGGAGCAGTAGTTCAGTCATTTATTTGCTCTAGTATTCCATCATATGGATGTAACACCGCTTGTCTGTTCTACTGTCGACAGACCTTTGGGTTGTTCCCTGCTTATGGCTGTGATGCAAACGTATCTTAAGCTCATTCATGCACCCGTCTTTCTTGCTGTGTGTGCACACATACTCAGGAACAGAGTTGCTGGGTCTTAGGATATACACATGTTCAACATAGTAGATAAGGCTCAACATAAATAATTTGTCTGTAAGTTGCATAAAGGATTTCCACAAAGGTATGCTTCAGTCAGCAGGTATGAGCTTCTGGTTCCTCACCCTCAGCACCTGCCGTTGAAGCTCTCCTTTGTTTGTTTGATTTTTTAAGTCAAATGTATTGAGGTATAATTTGTGTACAATAAAACTTAGTCTTTTTAGGTGTACTTTCAATGAATTTTTATAAATGCATATGGTTTATATATACCACATCTGCACCACATCATGATACAGAATATTATCACTCCCCCAAATTTCCTCACACCCCTTTTTTGTCAGTCCTCTGCCTCCACTCCCAACCTCTGGCAGCCATTGATTGGGTCTCCATCCCTCCAAGTGTGCTTTGTCTAGAATGACATATAAATGACACTGATAACAGGAAGGCTTTCAAGCTTGCCTTCTTTCACCCTGAATAATGCATTTGAGGTCCACCCGTGCTGTTGCGTCCATTAATAGTTTGTTTGTTCCTTTTATTTTGCTGAGTTTGTAGTTTGTTTATGCACTGATCACTTGATGGACATTTTGTTTGCTTCATATTTTTGGCTTTTGTGAATGAATCCACTATAAATTCGTGTACAAGCTTTTTCATGGACATAGTTTTGATTTCTCTTGGGTAACTGTCTCAGGGTGGAACAGCAGGGTCATAAGCTACGTGTCTGTCCTCTTGCTAACACCATCTTACCTTGATCAACATAGATTTCTGGTGAGTGTTTGTTCTCCAACTTTTTCCTTCTTCTTTAAGAAAGTTATTCAGGCAATTCTAGCTTCTTTGTCTTTCCATGTAGATATTAGGATAACCTTATCAATATCTACAAAAAAATTCATGTTGAAATTTAGATTGAGATTGTGTTTAAAGTATAGGTCAATTTTGGGGAAAATGGACATATCTGGCAATCCGTGAACATGATATATTTATTTATATCTTCTTTGATTTCTCTCACCAATGTTTTATAGTTTCCAACATAGAAATTTTGCACATTTTTATTCCTTTTTCTTTTTTTTTGGTGAGGAAGATTAGCCTTGAGCTAACACTCATTGCCAATCTTCCTCTTTTTGCTTCAGGAAGATTGTCCCTGAGCTAACATCTGTAACAATCTTCTTTTAT